AATATGACAATTTAACCTCTTTGAACGGCCCAAAAATGAATAATATAGTGATCAGAGATATATTACTATACTTTGTATGTTTTTTGTAAAAGTAGATGATGATTTCGTATGTGATTAATTTATGTCAAAGCTGTCAAGGTAGATTGGCTGACAGAGTGGTGAGGGAATGATTATGTACTGCTGAGTAACCATGGCTTCAGCTTCTTTTTAAAATTGTTCAGAGTATAATTCCGAAATTCGTATTGAAGATTATGTATAACTTGGCAGCAGTATAAGAGGATCATTTTTTGTAGAGAGTCGTAAAGTGTTTACATATAACTAATAATTGTCGGTTTTTGGTAGCCAAGTTATTGATGTTTTCAGATTTGTTGAGTTTATTTAAAATATATTTTCGTTTCTTATTCACAAACATTTTATGAACCAAACATAAACTTTGTAATTTTCTGAGATTCTTCACGTTCATTTTACAATTTTCTTTATACACATGGCTTATGTGGTCAAATTTCCATATACCTAAGGAAAAAAGGTTACAAGAATTTTGTAGGCGTTGTAACTTGCCTTTATCAGTTTTTATTATAGCTGGACCATATACACTTGCGCAATATAAAACTCATTTACTTATATGACGCCTTTAAGAAGAAATAAAGTTTGATTGGGCACGAGAGACAAAATGTCATTTATTTAGAAATACCATCTCAAATAAAGCCAAAAAAAATAAAATCGAGTTTGTGTAAATTTGATTCGCTCTGTCTCCGGAAAGACTCGGAATTACGAGATTCCAACGGTGAGCGTTAAATTTTAAACACGTCTAAAATTTCCATCCAGTAGTTTAAAATCACCTTCCCATAATGTTCATCCTCCTCTTGTAATACAAAAGTTTGAAGGGTATAACAAAAAAGAAATGTTCCAGATAAATAATGTCAAAGTAGAGTTACAATTTTAACTCAACGTTGTAGGTAGAGATATGTAAAAAATATTTACCCAGCAGTTACAAGATTCTAAATATTCAAATAATATAACTTCTGGAAATACTGTAAGCACACTAAATGCAGTATTTCACTCACAAAAATGATGTTCAAGGCACACATTTAGTTGTGGTGTGATTTCTTGGAAAAGTAGATTGATTTTGAGAGTAAAGAGACCTTTAAAAACTCAAACAGAATCTTATCGACAGTAGCTGAAATAAACCAACGCATATGAATACCTGACCGTGTAATCACTACCCAGTATTTGAATCAGTCGAGTACCTGGTATTAGGATTTTCGAAAAAACTAGCACTTCTGCTTTCCTACATGTCCTATATTCAGTTAGTCCGCGATATATCTTCGCATTTGATGGGAAAAATACTCTGATTCGGATAAAAATTCTTCAAACATTCATCAACAAAATCCCGAACCATTTCAGGAGGTATTACAATTATTGTAATTCTTTTTTATTGTTAGCCAAGCGCGCTCAGCGTATGGTCTGCTTGAGTGCGTGAGAAATGAAACATGTAGAATTGCAGAACAAAAACAAAGGTTTACAATAAAATACGTCCTGAAATGTTATCGAATTTTGTTAATGGATGTTTGGGGAATATTTAGGAACATTGTCTACATTAAAATTTTCGTCTTTTCATATTGTTCTTGGTGTCGAAAATAGTAGATTTCCCACTTTGTCAAATATTGTATCGCTTATATCTCGAAAACTACCAACTTTAGAGAAAAGCTCTAAGGTACCTACTTCGTTCAGAATGTCCCACAAAAACTAATAATACTTTGATTGGAGCGTAAGAAAACAATCCTTGTTTGTTTGTTTATAAAAATTGCTCGACAGTTATTGACGCAAGTTTGGGCATAGCAAAAAAATCCGAACCTGAATACTTTCCCCATCAGATGCGAAGATATCGCCCTGGACTAATTGAAAAATGGTTCTATAACATGCTTCGTTGTTGTAGAAAACGTATTGTGCTGATCCAAAGAAACGAATTAGCATAGCACAGTTCAAAAACGCAGTTGCACTGATAACGGGGAAAATAGATGGAAAAGTCATTGTAAAACACGATGGAGGGCCTTCATGCGCAGAGTTCACGTTCACAGTCACTAGAGGGAAAAGCGGATAACTGATAGATACAATCACATTAATGTAATCTCTGTACAATATTCTGTACATGTACCTTATTTTTAGTTGTAAAGTTTTCCAATACATAGGAATATGAATATCTAGTATGATTGTATTTTCACATAATAGTTATTTATGTATCTTGGGCGCTAAGCTCCAGACACATGACGTGAAATTAGAGCCAAATGTGCCAAGAGACATGAACGTATATTACGCTCGAGATACATAGAAAATTTTGTCTGCGACAGGCTAAAATAAAGAATTCTTAGTTGCTTCAAGACTAATTAAAAATAAAAATAAATTGATCGTACTATTATGTACTAAGTAGTTATATTCTCGCCTAGCAACAAATACATAAGCACGGTTTTCTTGTCCGCTATATTAGACTTGTTCCAATAAGCCATTGAACTAGTTCTGAACTGAATAGAGCATACGTAGATCGAAATAATGTTCCAAAAAAATGGAAGTGGCAATTCTCAGTTCTAAAAAATTCCGAAAGGATTCTGAACCGGTTTAGAAATGGTTGTTACAGTTTTGACTCTGGGAGAGAACTGAAAGTTCGAACTTGAATGCGCGTTTACAGAATAAATCGCGACGATGAGCTGTTAATAGGTACAAAGCTAGATTTTGTGGCTGTCATATAATGCCTTTTCTAAGTTTTCATCTTCTCATATATCAAACCTAAATTTTAACCTCCTATCGTGGCATATATTACACATTCAAAAAATGGGTGAACGATGAAGATTACTTTGGAATAGAAAAGATCTTGAGCTGATTATACATTACATATTCATGTATTGATAATTTTAATTAATTTATTTATAATATCAATCTTCTGTAATTCTTTCAAGTCAGATAACAGCTAAGTGTTGTTAACATTCCTTTTAGTTTCCTCCTCTGCTGCTGTACCAGAGCATGCTTCCTTTAAAGGTAAATCATGAATCCTTCCAGCTCTAAAAAAGACAATTTTCTACTATTTCTCTAAAATGTTTCACTGAGCTCTCATCTTTTGTTGAATCTGCCACCACGTTTCCCCAATTTTTAAAGATTTACAGTACGTCAAAAACAATAAATTATCTAAAATTTTACGTCTAGCAAAAGAAAAGTTTTGAACTGTAATTACCTCGAGCATACACAGAAAAATAATTCGGAATTCGTTCTGAACTATTTCAGAACTGCCTATTGGAACAAACCTTCAACATAGTTTAATTATACACCAGGTCATGAAGTGGACTGAAAAGTGGAAACACATGGAAAACCTATTCATAAACTACACCTTACCCCGTCGCAGATAAAATAACTTTTGAAGGTGCAATATCTAAATCTTATCCTGTAGTTTACACGCGCTAAAGTTTTTTTAGCTACTAAATGAAACCACATATGCAGGGGTAACGCTTTGGCCTTTCTCGAAGTACAAGCAAAGTACAGTAGATAGTATACATGACATCGAAAAATATATACAGGGTGTCCCGAAAAAAGTGTGAAATATTCTACCAGCGGTTTCTAGAGCTTAAAATAGGGAGAAAAGTTTATATAAACATAGGTCGACAAACATCCCCTAAGGGCGCTACGGTCTTTTAAAGGGGCTCCCCTGAAGATGGACAATTTTAGGCAGTTTGGAAGGGTATGTAACAGGGACGGACTCAGGTTATTTTAGCTCCAAAATTTTTGTGTGATTCTATTTTTGAAATTCAATTTTAGAATTTGAAAATTTAGGGTTTTCTACATAAAAAAGGTACTCTTATTAAATATCGATAAATTGTGCCATTTTTTAATAAAATCAAACTAAAGAATTTGTCACATGAAAGGAAATGTACTGCGAATTTAAATTACAGTGGATTTTTATTTAAGTGAAATCCTTATGACCCAACCAAAATTTTAAAAAATCTATACGCGAATCTATAAAGAATTACGGTGTTTATGCTCTACACGTTTTTGAAGTTAGGGGTGATTTGATCCAATATGACTTGATTTGGATTGATCCAGATTTTTATACCTTTGGGGGCAATTTTCATACGTCGTTTCGCCTATGGGATTTTTACCTCACCCGCATTATGGTTTAGACGTGATGATGGCAGACTAGACATTCACACTTAAGTATATAGATATCGACCATGCCATTTTTGATCTGTACTTTGAAAAAGACCATCGAGATGTCCAAAACGTCATTTCTTCATATGTGGTTTTATTTAGAGTCCAGAAAAACATGTAGTTTTAGAAGTCATCGCACATACATTACAAAATGTAAGACAAAATTGCTACACTGTATATTTTAGAAAATCTTTAGCACTGACTATATATGTAGCTGTAAGGCTACGTACACCTTAACATCACTATGCACTTTAGTTGGTTTCACAAAGGCACAGCATGGACGTGGTCAACACTAGAATCACAAACAATGTAAGTATCTTTCTTCTTAATAACAAAAATCACTAATTGTAGGTAGCCCCTGAATCTTTGGACAATCCTTCGGATCCATGTTAATCACAAGAAATGTCGTTACTGGACAATGTTTCTTTTTAAATAACCTTTGAATAACTTTTTAATTTTATGGAATTTTGATAGCTCTCACCACCGCACATGATAGAGTGGATTGAAAAATAAAAATGAGAAAATTGTTTTGCGAAAGACGACTGGCTCGACATGTGAATGTGAAAAAAAAATATATTTCTTAGCTAAGCAATCAGTCATTTTAAAAATATCAATTATTTCTAGACCTATATTTCAGTATGAATAGGATTTGTTTGCTTTCCGTCTCTGTGACCGTGACCAACAGTATACGTCATTGTTTCATGCTTATTAGCAATCGGCAGTACGGTTCCAGTCTAGTTCTGGAGAAGACAATGGAAAGCAATATTGCCTATATTTCTTTAAATTTGTCTTACTATGTGATTTTGTAGAAAAAATACTGTGCCGATCCAAAGAAACCAGTCAGTATAATGCAGTTCAAGAATGGCCTTGCCATGGCCTTAGGTACAGTCACGGGAAAAATGAAGCTCAAGCATGATGGAGGTCCATCCTGTGTACAGTTTTCTTTTACTGTCAACCGAGCAATGGGCTGAAATTTTTACAATAAAATATACTGCAAATCTTTGTACCACTTAATTCGATATTGACTGTTATATTGTGTTTTGTTTTTATTAACCTTTGTCCCCATTTTGACCCAGGGCATATCGAAAACTGGAAAATACAGAGCGATATACTCCCAGAAATAACACGGGAGGTAGATTGGCCTCAGATCAATAAGGTAAAATCAACATGACCTCAGTAAAAGTATTCTAATTTTCGAGATATTGCCTCTTTCAAAGAACTTCTAGCTTTTTTTCCTGAGCAACCATTAATAGTTGGTTGCAACAACCAAGTAATAATTTCATTGAAAACTAGCACGGTATGCTAAGAAAAATAATTATTATATTTTGTTTCAATGTGAAAACCTTTTTCTAAGGTTTTACTAATTATAGTGAAAAACAAGTAACAGACTGAATTGGCAAATTATCTTAAAAACCAGCCTATTTGATGGTTTTTTGAAAATAGTATAACATTTGTAGGTTCTTTCTACTAAAAATTGAATAAACCCAACCTTTGTCATCGAAGTCGTAATATTTGCGAAATACTACAAAAAATAAGTACAGCCATTTGTATCCAAATCATTAAGGAATGAAACGACCTAAACATGTCATTGACTATCTCGCTCACACATTCAATGTTCGGTCACCTCGAGGAACTTTCAGCATACCGTGCTAGTTTTCAATGGGATGAATAGTGTTAATGATACCCCAGGAAAAAAAAAACATAAGTTAGAAGTTCTTTAGAGCCATAACAAGTAAAAAAAAGGAGCAAAAAGTCGAGATTTTTCGAAAAAAGTGGCCATATCTCGAAAGCTACAAAACTTTTACTAAGGTCGTGTTGATTTCATCTGATTGATTTTTTGGGTCCGATACTGTTCAATATATACTAGCAGATCACCATTGGAAGATCATAAGATTCATCGATGGCCAGACATAATTTATAACCCGGATTTATGGAAAAATCTAAAAAGAACAGCAGAAAATAAACATGGTTTTATCACTGTACGCTTGCAATAAATTTTAGTAAAACACTGTATCATTTTCAAGCAACAACAACTCTTTATCTGCATTCAGTCAGTTGATACACAATTAGATACTTGGGAGTCTATAAAAGTTAGCAGTGGATTAACGGAAGTCAGGTGATAGAGGGCCTCAAAACCTATCGAATTAACCCTTATATGTGTGGTCCGAAATTTTATAGTTCAGGAGATATTAATTTGTAATTTTGTGAAATTTCGAAAGAAACGGGATAATGAACTTTCAATCGATATTACGACTAAACCATCAGGTTTAAGGGTGTGATTTTTTATCTGAGATGAGCTAAAAGGTTGGTTATAGGAATGGTAATGTCACTTTTCAACAGAGCTTATTATAAATAAACGCAAAAAATCTTAAATTCATTTTTTTATGAAAAACCTCCTCCATTCCTCAGCTTTGGAGGGCGGTAAAAAAATTGTGGTTGTATTTCATTATATATTTTATTGTACAAACTGTTTCAATCCATGTGGAATAAACCCTGAAAATTTCAGCTTGCTACGATGATTGTACTATATCATGTCACATTCGTTGTTGTGATGCGATAAACGGAAGAAATGCAGTATAATCCTTACCACCTACAAGTATAGAACCTATTGTGTTTAGCCGCTCTTTATGGAGATTTACCGACAAATGTGGAAGATCATTTAATTTAAATATCTTTTAAAGAACATGTTCGAAATGGCCTCCATTATTTTCTATATACAAGCGACACCTTCTAATAAAATTGGCCTTTGGTCTTTGAAATGAATTTGCGTATTCCACAATTTTTATTTTTGCTTCATCAATTTTCTGGCGCAGTTGGTTGACATTTGTATATTCAGATGTATAGATTATCCCCTTATAAAACCCCATATAAACAAATCTAGAGGATTTAAATCGGGTGACCTTGGAGTTCATCGTATGTGTCTACCTCTACCTATCTAACGCCCAGGAAAGGCACAGTCTAAATAATGCTGTACATCCCGTGCAAAGTGGCATGGGGCACCATTGCATTGAAAATACATGCAGCTTCGAACGTCCAAAGATACATCTTCTAGCAGCTCATGCAAACTGCTTTGTAGAAAAGCAAGATATGACTGACCATTCAGACTGGCGGGCAATTCATATGGTAAAATTAATGTTTTGTTAAGTACTCCAGTCCATAAATTAACACCAAACTGACGTTGAAAGCTGTGTCGGCGAATAGCGTGAGGATCTTCCACGCTCCATGAATGGAAATTGTGCATGTTGAATATTCCATTTCGGTTAAAGTTGTTTGTCCATAAGATGCTGTGGAAAAAGTTTCATCCTCTTCGCACCTTCTCAACATATTCTCACAAAATTCAATAGTCGCTTGGAAGCAATTCTTGTAGTTTTTGTACATGGTAAGGATTCATGTTCTCCGAGCGTAGTATTGTGTGCACTGAAGTATGGGATATGTTTCTGCTTCGGGCAATGGCTATGGCGCTTATAGAGGGATATCTCTCGGCTGCTTGTAGTATATCTTCTATTTCGTCTGGATGTATCCTCCGCGCTCCTAGCTGACGATGAGTGTCTAGTATGCGGCCCTCCATACACGCATTATGGACGCTTAGAAAAACGCGGTAGTCGGGATATACCGCCTATTGGGGCCACCTATTCTAACCACATACTCCCGATACATGCGGGCAGCTGCTCGAGCATTTCCTAGGGCAGCACCATAATTGTACCGTAAACTTCGACATACTTTTGGCATAAATCATTCTGTACTTTCATGTGTAGGCTGATAGACAATATTATATAGATGTCAACGTAACATTTGAACCTTTGGCTATCAGCTAGACTCTTTATTAAAATCCTATATTTTCTTCACATATTTTTTTTTATTTTTAAATTTGTGTTGATGTTGCCCCTAGGTAGGGGTAACTTCGGCATCATATGTATTTTAAATGATATGTCGATTTTATGGTTCGCGAGGGTTACATCGACACATAGAAATTATATTTTTTTTAACAAAAATACTATAGTATATTAAAAAAACTTTCTCAAAAATTTACAAAAAGAAATGAAACAAACGTAATAAACAACAACAGAAAACGTGTAACTGATAAAATTAAAATAAAACAAAACGCCAGTGCAACAAAAACAAAATAAAAGTATACAAAATAATACTAACACAAAAATAATTCAAATATCTAATTATCATCTTCACATATAGGACACATATATTGATTTTCTTTTGACGCTTTGTTGCAAATGCCTCAAATCCATCTGAAGCAAATGACACAGCAAATCCAATCTGTGCCTCTGTATTCAGAATAGAGGCATTTACATATTGCACACACGTCGCTACTCTTCTCTGCCTTAGATTGTGTAGCAGTAGGTCGAGGTTTGGAGGGACCTGGTTGGGAATTAACACAAACCTGAACGGTCTTTCTGACAACGGATAATGGGAGGTTGTCCTCGTCTGAAGAAATTGAATCTGCAGGAAGATTCTCAACAGGTGGCAAGCACATTCGCTCTCTGGGCCTTGTCTTTAGCTTTTTTCCTCTTTTCCGCGAGGCGGATTCATCTATTTGAGGTCCTCGAGATCCCTTGAGAAAACCTAATACACTCTCATCGAGCATCCTTGATGTGGAAGATGAATCGTGAAAATCAGGAAGTTTGGATAAAATGGTGTCAGGGCTAAATGGACAAATTCCGGTTGTTCGAAAACCTGAAAAACTGTTTCTAATTGCGAAGCTTCTCACTAAGTCATATCCTGGTCTATTATCTTTCCATATTTGTACGTTAAGCCTGTGTTTGTTGACTAAACCAGAAATAACGGATGCAATATCACTTCTGGTCACTAACAGTTCCGAGTGTTTCACTAATTAAACTTTCCTCTTCTTTTGTCAATACCGTCGGATGGCCAACTTTGCTTGTATGTTTTCCGCTAATTCTCTCCAAAAGGGTTGTCCTTGGAACCTTGTATTTTATACTAGCTGCTTTCCTACTCATACCACTCCGTACTGCTGCAATTGCATCCTGCATATTTGTTTCGTTGAATTGACGATATCGCCTACCACCCACCTTTTTAACGTAATTTCTGACCATTTTTAGCCTAAATATTATCAACCTCTCGACAGTCTTAACCTGTTCTAATCCGTTAAATTCCTCAGCGAGTACGACGCGTATACACATTCCGAGAAAACGAACACCTCCACGTGGCATGTCGAAGTTACCCTGACAGTCGGTAATGTATTTCGCAACAATCTCGCGGAGAATATGTTAATACACACTGTATGACTCGCATTGCTAGGACGAATCTAACAGCACCTCATTTGTCAAAATCCATCAAGTCGTTTGGACTGTAGCTCGTAAAATAGAATTTCTTGTTTATATGTATAGATACCCCTGCGTCAATCAAACAGATTTTTTAAGGTGAGGCACTTATCATAGGAAGCTAACATTTTCAGGGTTTATTCTACATGGATTGAAACCGTTTTTACAATAAAATGGATAATGAAAATTCAACCTCAAATTTTTTTAACGGCCTCCAAAGTTGAGGGATGGAAGAGATTTTTCACAAAAAAATGTTTTTAAGGTTTTTTGCGTTGATTTCTAATTAGCTCTGTTAAAAAGTGGCATAACCATTGCTAAAACTAACCATTTAGCTCATCAAAAAGAAGTCACAGCCCTAAACCTAATGGTTTAGTTGTAATTGCGATTGAAATTTCGCTATCCCGTTTTTTTCGAAATTTCACAAAATTGCAAATATCTCCTGAACTATACACACATATAACAGTTCATTCGATATGTTTTGAGGCCCTCTATCACCTCACTTCCGTGGACCCACTACTAACTTTACACCCCGCAGATATCCAACCGAAGAGTTATTTAAGGAAGCCCACCAACTATATTTTTCTAATGTAATTGTTTGGCAACAGGGTTAAAAACGATTGCAGTATGATACGAGGACTGCAAATTAAGTGATGAGACCTCGGAACCTGTGATCCACCTTCAGTACAAGTTTGAACTCGCTCAAGTCATTTGGTTGTCCGAAGCGATTTATGTTGTAAAACAGTTTTTTCTATTGTGTTCTAGAAATGAGTGACATCAATTTCAAGCAACGGTATGCTATGAGTTTTTGGTTCAGACTTAAGCATAGTGGAGCGGAAACTCTTGCTAAACAGGCTTACGGAGGTACTGTCTCGTCAAGAGTCCAGGTTTTTGTGTGGTTTAAGGCATTTCCAGAAGGGTGAGAAACATCGTCGGTTGACAGTCAGAATGATCAGGAAAGAGTTAAATTTGACTCACACCACCGTTCTTCAGATCAAGGACAACTAGGTGTTGCATAATGCTACTTGTCGCATGGCAATGCCAATAAACGAGTTTTTGGTCAGTAAAAGCCTGGCTCCTCAGCCCCCTTATTCGCCTGACTTGAGTCTTTGTGACTTTTTCCTCTTCCCGGAGTTGAAAAATCACCTCATTTTGGGACAGTCGAAAATATTCAAACGGCTATAACTGACCAACTGAAGGCTGTTCCAATACCAGAGTTTCAGCACAGCTATGAGGAGTGGAAAAGACGTCTCCAGCACTATGTGGCTTAAAAAATTAAAAACACTGGTCGACAGCCAAAATGTATCCGGATAACTTTTGTTACGTTTGTGGTGAAGTGACCCTCCAGGCCTAAAAATGCAAAATGACTCACTTAATTAAAAAGGCATACCATTTATATTTTGGTTGCAAAATCGGAGACCAAGATAAGAGTTGGGCTCCCGATATAAGTTTATGTTGTAGTTATTGTGGCAACAATCTTCGTAATTTGATTATTGGTAGAAAATGAGCGATGCCCTTTGCTGTACCTATGGTTTGGTGTGAACCCAAAGACCATGCCGCGGATTGTTATTTCTGCCAAATAGCTCCGATTGAGCAAGGTATCACCAAACAAAAGAAGAAGTAGTATCCCAATTTGGAATCTGCAATTCGTCCAATTCTTCATAGCGATGAGTTACCTGTTTCTGATCCACTACATGCGTACGCCGTATCTGAAGAAGAGTTCGAAGGTGATTCGGATGAAAATGTTGACCAGCCATCGATATCAGCAGCCGGAGATCCGGACTTTTTGTGTGAAGAAGTCAATTTAATTAACCAGCGTGAATTAAGTGATCTCATAAGGGATTTGGATCTATCGAAGGCAAAGGCAGCCACACTAGCCTCTCGCTTACAACAATGGTATATATTGCAACTAGGTGTGAAGGTGTCAGTTTATCGCAGTTGGTAAGACAATTTGACACATTTTTTTAAGATGGAAAACAATATGGAGGCTTTTCATAGATTCTTCGAAACAAAGGCTGTTTTATCACATAAAGGGAACAAGTTACCATCCAATTGGATATGCCGTTCATATGAAGGACACTTATGAAAACATGAAGCTACTGCTTGGATCTATAGAGTACAAAAATCACCAATGGCAAATCTGTGGAGATTTAAAGGTAATCTCGATCTTGCTTGGTTTGCAGCTAGGTTATACAAAATATTGTTGTTTTCTTTGTGAGTGGAACAGTAGAGCTCGAACCGAATATTATAACAGGAAAGTATGGTCGTCAAGAATCGCATTGGTACCAGGGGACAAAAATGTATTAAGCGAACCTCTTGTAGACCCTAAGCAAATATTACTACCGCCTCTCCACATAGAACTTGGCCTTATGAAGAATTTCGTTAAAACCTTGAATAAAAATGGGAGTGCTTTCACATATTTAACACAAAAATTCCCCAGATTAAGTCATCTGCACAATACCGTTTAGCATGTTGACGTGGGAAGTAAAAACGAAAAGCACGAGAATAAGTGGGAATGTGATTAGAATTAGGCCAGTAGGAAGCAGGCGACGGTAAAGGAAAACGTGCTCATCATGTCTGCCGTCGTCGACGTGCTGCAGATCTTAAACTGCCTCCCAAGCATTCAAGCACAACAACTGAGCGACGCCTTGTGACTTTCTGGCGAGGTAACAAACAGTCATTGACCTTCTATCTGTATTGGACTGCCATGCCGTGGTGACGTCACTGATCCGTCGCTCAGGTTTTATTGCTAAGACATTAGATATATACAGGGTTATCGATAACTTATAGGTATTCTTAAAATGCAATGAATTTCACCCTAATCCGGGTGTTTCAAATTCATTTCTCGTCAATGAGATCTCGGAAATTGTAAGACTAACGAAGTAGATTAAGCGGGCAGAACAGCTACGCATTTAGGTAACTATGGCACTTAGAACGTTGTGCAGCTTTTATTATTTCCTGACTCGATTGAAAGCTGGATTTTAAAATAAATTGCATACTATCATTCTCCTCTGCGGAATGAGAATTTCAATATGACGTTTCTTCTATCGTCCTCAATGATCAACTTTACTTTTTCTTATGAACGGCATACAGATATTTGGACGGATCGATACAGCTTTTAATTCTGATTATAAAACCGTATAATATGTCATAAGTCAATGTCATAAAACTATTTTAAAAGAAAACATAATCCCCTAAGACTTATTTGTTTCATAATATTATCAACCAAGCATTCCTAGAACTTCCGCAACCTGTATGCGTGTACCTTTATCGTCAAGACAAATGAATTTACTGGTATGGTCGGAAGATCGCACGAGAATCAAAACTCAAGTACGTTGAACATGGTATTCAATTAGTGTGATTTGAACTTACCAGCGCTTTAATGTATGAGAGGTGCATAGTATTACAGAGGTGAGATTCTCTTAATAAAAGAATGCAAGTTGTTCAGCCCCCCACACCCTACAACCCCCATCCCTTAGTTTTCAACCTAATTTTTGTCTGAAAATCAACATTAGTCTTTGAAATGTCACAAGATGCAGTTTATTTACTCGGCATAGTAGTAACTTTATATCGAAAATTCGATCAAACCCCGAGCGGTACTTTCCAAGTTATAAATCTGATAAGGATCAGCGGGAAGATCGGCAGACGGACAGAAGGAAGTGAATGAAAAATGTTTTTGTGATGTATATTTCATTTAACAGGGGGCTGGGTAGCCGAGAGGCATCTCCACTTCGGAAGTTAACTATAAGCCATAGATATTGTTTTGTGTATGATATACGCCAGATTGATGCAAGATCAACATAAGTACACCGCATCGCTGGATGATTCAATAATAATAATGGTAGTAATAATACTTATCCCAACTTTAGAATCACAAATACATAATATGTACAAATGACATAGATGTGGAACTAACGTCATATGCATCCAAAAATTAAAATGAAGCATTCATGTATTCAGAAATGCTCTTTGGTTCTATCTTAACTAAAGCCCGTTTCAGGTTTTTTGAGGTTCGATTCGATTTTAAATAATTAGGCAGTGTATTATACAACATTGCGCACATATAAAAAAGTGTTTTTCAGTTACTGTCAGCCTATGCTGAGGTAGCAAAACAAAACAATAATCAATTACCAGTAGATGGTTTGAGGAAGAGGAAGAGTAGTACAATGTCGGTACTACATCCTCAAAATAATAATAATAATAATAATAATAATATTTATTCGCCAAAGTACAAAAAATGGGCAAATAAATATGAAAAAACCACAGAAGGCATCGCCTGTGTGTGGTTTATATCTTAATAACTAACAATCAATCATATATGTGTATAACAATTATTGTTAAATCTAAAAGGTATTAATGTAATTGGAATTTTGTAGTTTTAGTTTTCTATATAATTATGTATAGTCATTCGCTGCACATTACTAACCCAGCCTTTCAATTTTCTTCTAAATTTTTTTCCTATATTAAGTATCTTTATTTCGTTTGGTACTACATTATATAATTTAGCTGCTAAGAATTTAAATGATTTTTTGAATAATGTTTTGTGTGGTCTTTGGATATTAGATGAGCCTATTCGAAATCGTGTGTTATGCTCGTGTTTATAGGATATACAGGTATATAGGATTTTTATTACAATACTTATGGTATAAGGTGGTGGCATGTAAGAAGTAAAGTTGTCTTGTATCAAGTATCCCTGTTTCTTGATATAAGTT